CCACTAGTCTAACTATTCAGTTTGGGTTTTTTAGTAACTGTTTTATTGATATGTAATTAACTTAACATGAAGTCTGCCCTCCCCCCTTTTTATTTGCAGTATTGTGTATTGAGCCCATGCCAGGCAAATGCTCTACTATTGATTGACATCCCTTGCCCATGTTTCCCCTTTTAAAGTGCATTGTTAGTAGTGGGTTTTAGTATGTCATAATCATGTAACCATTACCACTTGGATTCCAGGACCTTTTTATCACCCCTCAAAAAAATAAACCTAAATAACGGGCTGGAGAGATGGCTCAGTGATTAGGAGCCCTGGCTACTCTCTCAGAGGACCTGGGTTTAGTTCCCAACATCCACATGGTAACTAACAACTTTCTGTAACTCCAGTTATGGGGGATCTAATGCCCTCTTCTGGCCTCCACGAACATTACACTTACATACATGCAGGCAAAACACAATACACAAAAAGCAAAAATAAATTAAAAAACAAGAACAGCAGCCCTCACAGCTATTAGCAGTTACTCCCCATTCCTTCCTCTCCCAGACTTGAGCTGTCATTAATTAAGTTCTGTGTTTATGGATTTGCTTGGCCTAGCCGTTTTGTGAAAATGGAACCCAGTGCTATAGCCTGCCATGTCAGGCTGGCTTGGCTCATTTTACTTCATGTCCTTTAGGTGTCCATGCTGTCGTGGGTGTCAGGACCCCATCTGACACTCTAGCTGAGTATCAGACCAGAGCTGGTTCCTCCATCTCTTCTTTGGTATTGGGCTGGAGGCTCTATTTGTAGGTTACTTCTTTCTCTTAATGTGTCAGCCACTGTCAGGGCCATTTCTGATGACATGACATTATCACATGGATGCATGTATGATAGCCAGGACCTCGTGGTGTCTCAAGACCCCTGTCTCATCTTCTTGTCGCTTTGCTCCTTTCCTGAATGTCAAGGGACCTTGGAGGAAATCCTAACCCATGGATTTCCCCAGTGTGTGGGTTCTCCAGAACCACTTCCAGCCCAGCTGAGGCCACAGCCAGCACTCCACTCAGCCTGTGATGGCAGGCACAGATCTCTGTAGCTGAGAGATCTGACCAGAGCCCTGCCTTGTCACTCCATAGGAGTCTCCCTCCCAGCACCTCCCTCCAGGGCCCTCATCCTGATATACCAGCTCTTGGCAGAGGGCTTCTTTTGCAACAGTATTCCCCAGTTCCCTTTACTCTTGAAAAATCTGAGGCTCTCCACTCTTGGTACCCTGGTGGCATCTGAAGTCTGTCTCCACCTTCCTGCCTCATTCATGTCCCCTAAAGTTCTCTAGGACCTGATTGGGCTTTAAGATAGACTTAGGGGGCTGGAGAGATGGCTCACCAGTTAAGAACACTGACTATTCTTGCAGAAAACCTGGGTTCAATCCCAGCACCCACATGGCAGCTAGCAGCTGTCCGTAACTCCAGTTCCAGGGGATCCGACAGCCTCTTCTGTCTTCTGCGGGCATTGCATGACACCTACACACTCACCTACATGCAGGCAATACACACATACATATAAAATAAAAATAATAAATATTTTTTTAAAAATTGCCTTACAGGGCTTACACTGAGTTCAATATTGTATAACTGTATTAATTCAACTGTG